TACTACTACTACTACTACTACTACTACTACTACTACTACTACTACTACTACTACTCTACTACTACTACTACTACTACTACCTACTCTACTCTACTACTCTCTCTCTCTCTCTCTCTCTCTCTCTCTCTCTCTCTCTCTCTCTCTCTCTCTCTCTCTCTCTCTCTAAATCATGGGTGGATCCCCAACCACTTGATAAAGCCTTTGCATCTCACCTTGCTTGCTTGGACCCTACAATATGCTTCCATTGCCACACGTGTTACACATTGTGCCAAACCCCTCACACGTGCATGAATATCATGTGTTTGTACTTCATCATCAAAATTCTTCTTGGTCCTTCAGTTGTGTGTGCAACAGGTTAGTGGATACAAATGGTACAAGGATTATATCTTTTTTTCCTTTTTCAAAAAATTGTAATCTTTTTTAGCTAGGTTAATATATGTTATTAACTTAAGTCTCATTTAACCACCCCCCCATCCAATTGTGGAATGAGCTGAGCTTGAGAGACACCAGATGAGTACTTTCAAAAATTAAAAAAGGTTTTTTTAAGGTATTCTTATACCATGTTTATATAAAAGGCACCCAACTTAAACAATCAAAGTGAGACATATCTCCAAACCCTGCCGGAGATGTAGTTGTAGTGCCGAAAAGTACTGTAACGATTGGATAAATTACTGTGACTATCGATTGCATTGTTATTTCTTGGGTTTTCTCTTATTAGCCATGGATACTTGGTTGGGTGCAATTATTTTTTCCAAAAATAACATATTACTGGGATAAAAGGTCAGGCACAAGTTAGGACTATTATTACAATTATTTGTCCGACACTGAAAATTTTGACCATTAGTATCGTATTTTGAAAATTTAGGGTTTATGATGATAAGGACTTCAACTTTTCTGACTTGTGAAATTGGAATGATTCTCAATGCATTAGGTTGGATTGGTTTTCAAAGCAATTGAAGAAATTTAGGAATCATCATAAACAAGAGAAGGAAATTATCTGTAGGTATGTAGTGAGTGTTTTTTAGTGCTTTTTGGTTAGAGTTGGGCACCTGGCCACCAGTTTGCCAACTCTTTAAGATCAGAGTATTTTTGTCATATTTGGCTCGATTTTTTGCTTTAATTAGGCACTGGATTGAATTCTCATTTCTTATCGTACTTTCTCATCGAAGAGGCCCTGAACTGACCATTGGAAACAATTCCTTTCTAGGTTTCTTAATTGAGTGAAATAGAGGTCGGACTTGAATAGGTGCCGTCATGCCAAGTGATGGTAAAAGGCTTGGGTAGCCAGCGCAAGAATGTGGGTTCGATTCTTGAGAGCAAGCCACTTTGTGTATAAAAAATCAAAAATTAAGACCGTTTCCAGCTCATTAGAAAGAGCATCAATTAAAATTGGGATCCAAGCTTGAGCTTGATTGATTGAGGTGTCAAAAATTGCAAGACTACATCCCGAGTTCGGATCCTACTGCTGAACCAACACTATAACTAGTTGATCTCTCTGCCCCTCTCACATTATTGAAAATATCTCATTTTTAGAATTTCAACCATTGGTGCAACAGCAAGTAGGTGACTCTCTCTCTCTCTCTCTCAGCTAAGCATGTAAAGGATCTCTTGATGCATTAAATTGATATTTTGGGGTTGGTTGAGGGAGTCTTGCTTGACCATGATACTTATGGTTAGCCATTAAGTGAGATAAAGACGTATTTGATTATTTATTGAGGAATATGTTTTTTTTTTTTTTCACTTTTTTTTTTTTTGGTAAAATATCACCTACATGTGGTCTTTATTATAATAAGATAAATTTCAAAATAAAATCAACACAACAATAAAATCAAGAGCTTAACAACTTGATGTCATTGAAACAACTATGCACCATGTTTGAGAATAAAAGATAAGACTGCAAGAAACAAAATGAAGAGTGCCGAAGATTATATCAACCAAGCTTATTACACCCCGTACCGAGTTACCACCATTCGATGGCACGGGATCAATTGTCTAGCTTCAGTCTCGAACTGGGAAAACAAATTTTGACCAAGCCACACGAATGGAACATAAACCCCTTTGATCACAAACTCAAACTTTAGGAGAATTCTCTTAGCAACCTAGTTGAGAGAGATGGATTCTCTTTTTGCTAAATCCTAAAACCCTTAGCCATAAATCCATATTTGAGAAATATGAGAGAACAACTCTATAACCTAAAACCTTAGGTTCTTTTACAATGTGAGAGAGAGATCAAACATCCACATTTGAAAGATATGAGAGAACAACTCTATAACCTAAACCCTTAGGTTCTTTAACAATGTGAGAGAGAGATCAAACACGAGAGAGATAAAATTTCTTAATAGAGAGAGATAAAAAGATAAGGTGTAGAGAATTTGGGTAGAGATAATTCCTTTTTTATAGGTTTGAACAATATTAGGGTTTTTTAGGGTTTTCCTTGGCTTGCTTCTTTTTGTGAGATTGAATATATACCGTCAATCAAGGGTGACTTGTAGGGTGAGAGATCTAAGCCATCCATTATATAGATGGGTCATCAACATTATGGAAGGTGCATGAACCATTATCTCTCTTTCCTAAACCATTTTTCCATCAATAGAAATTAAAAAAATTAAATTTAATCAAAATATTGTGCATACTATAAAATAAAATAGCAAAAATCTACTCAATGTTTTCACAAAATCTTTTAGAGATATATCAAGTATTCCACAAAATCTTTCAGAGATATATCAAGTATTCCACAAAATCTTTCAGAGATATGTCAAGTCAATATTTAGTCAATATCTTCCAACCATATGGCCACATGTCATATCACCAAAAAATAAGAAAGAGAATAAGGATGGGGCGTGCCACCCAAGGGAGGCACTCATGGGCCCCACCTTTTAAAATATGGCGGGCCCATGTGTACAATGGGCCCCCATGATATTTTTATATATTTAAAATTAATAAAAGGATTTTAGAATATTATTTGAATATTTAAACAATTGTAAAATCAATATATTTAATTTTATAAATCCAAAAATTATAAATAAAATATCCAGGGGATCATAAAAATTCAAATAATAATCTTAAAATAATTTCTATCATAAAACAAACACAATTAAATTAATTTGATGGGAAAATGATCACTATGGTTTAGGAATCAACAATCTGGGGCACTCC